GCGACGCTTCGGGGGTCGACTCTAAAGTTGGGCTCCACCAACCATTGCCGCCCCTCACGGCCCACAGGGCCACCACTACCACGGTCCTCCACCGGAACATGGCGCGCCCACCCCGAGCGCAAAAAACCCCAGCTCAGCTTGAGCCAGGGCCTTGACGGTTCGCTGTCGTGCACCGTCCAAAAGTTTCACTTTCAAAAAGTTCCAATATGAATTGCTGAGAGGTGAGAGCCGAGAGCTGAGGGTCGTGCAAAGTGTTTCCATCCAACTTCCGGCATGGATGCTGCTTGACAGCACCAGGTGAAGATAAATTTGGAGATTCGGATGTGCAGTTGCAGTTGTATCATGTCGGAAATCAGAGGGTTGAAGGTGTGTGGCTTGTTTCGTTTTCCGCGTCCATTGGTGTTTACTTGCATTCAGCAATTCTTGTTTAGTAGGAGAAATGCGTCGACATAACAACGCTCAATGCCAGGACCTTCCCCATTGCCAAGGGACACCATGACATGCCCAAACACTGGCCCAGCTGAATAATGCTGCCAAATCATGAGAGATACAAGACTTATAGGACAGGAAAGGCTCCTCATAAATTAGAGACATCCATATAACCTCCATGCAAGAATATGTTTGTTTGTCAGGAGAGAGGCCTGATAAAATCAGCCAGTACTGGACCAGGCCGGCACTGAGACTGTTTGCCAAGGTCAATGGGAAAGAAACAAACACCTGTGATATTGTCAAGTTGTACCATCTCAGAATCTATGATCATCTATGAATGTATGCCATATGCACGTGGTATGCATGTTTGCTCGGCTCAGTGCGGATATTTTGGTCCTGCACAGCTGCACAACCCTACTTGCATGCACAAACATGCAGATAGGTTTACAGAGTTGTGTGTACATGCCGAAGACGCTGATACAAATCACCAGGGATGCTTTGTGAGTTGAGTCGCATCAGGTCATTGTGAATGCTGCTAGGTTCCAATCCATGCCCATTTGTTTCAAACAAATGTAGACATCAAGATTCCAAGGCAAGTTGGAGGCTCAGGCTATTGATCCACCTGTTTTCTGGTTGAAGAGCCAGGGCATGCTCAGGTTTACCGTGCCGCGCTGGCATGCCACCGACCAATGCGTGACTGGATGAAGCAAGCGATTTTGAACATCCATCATGGGTCGTGGGAATGGCATATACTTGGAACAGCACAAGAGGGGACCTGTAACTCACCCGAAGAGTGTGCCAAACTTTCTTGCAGAGAAATCACCAAGCTATCACACGATATCAATTTGTTGGAGAAGGCACCTCTTACTTACCAGGTTTCAGGTAGAACCACTGGTTTTTGGTCTCAACTTCAGCAGTGACAATTCCCCGCAACTCAACTCCGAGCCCCCCGATTCAACAAGTGCTGCAAAAGAACTGGCCATATTTTGGGATCATTTGGGCACGTATTTCGTGCAAAGGGTGTAAGCCCTGTACTACACTGCAGCCATTCACCCCTTGTAGAGCAGCCTTCCTGTCTAAGGTATCCGCACCCACCCTACGTGCAAACCATGCCGGGGGTGGCGGCGTCGGTGCCGACGCCGGTGGCGACGCCAGCGCCAAGCATGATTTCACCGACTCCGCATGGCCCACGCCCGGCAATGGTGCTGCAAGCTGTTCCGCCACTTGGCACTCAAGCGAAAACGACTGCGGGCCACACTTACGCTGCAGAAAGCAATAGAGATCCCGGTCGTTTTGTTTTGGCAGGAAGGCAAGTGATCATTGGAATCATTGAAGTCGAAATCCCGAAAAAATAAGTAGGTGTGGCTTTGCAGATATGATATAACGGTCTTGCAAGACGAATGTGGGAGCCTGTAGGAATATGTACAAATATCAACATGTCATCAAATGTTGCGTGTTTGGGACTCTACTGAAAGTTATAGATGATCCGAATCCTCAAAACATGAAGTTCCCCATCTCAAGGCAATGACACGGTAAAGAGCCAAAAGGAAATGTCCTGTATAAAAAGAAAGGAGAAAGTTTACATGTTGGAGCTTTCAGGGATCCAACTGGCTACGCCCCACATCCGCAAATGGCAAGCTTTCAGTTTTCAACTGAGGCCACAACCACCGCAGTGGTCGGCTCCTGAAAGAGTGGTAAAGGATTAGAGTTGGAACCAAAGCAGGCGATCATAGTTGCACGGATTGGCACGGTCGTTTGGAGTCTTTCTGACTTGACTCACTTGACAAGAATTCGATCATGGCCTTTGGGTGTGTGATTGTCTTCAATGTGAGACGCATACATTCGGAGTACATGTGAAGTGCGACAAAGGAGTGAAGCGGCAGCCAAGAGCGACCCCCGTCTCGAACGGCCGGAAGTTGAAGCTTGGCTAGACGCACAGGGCAGATGGCTCTACAAGTCTCCTGGTTTAGCTGACAAGCCAACCTTTATATAAATCATAAATCGTTTACAATGCTTTTTTGAGTCAGATTCTGACTTCTGCTTGACGCGAAGTTGGTGTAAACCTGAGGAGTCGATGACCGACAGATCCAACATGTCAGGCCATGTGCCGGGCACTTAGACCCATGCTACGCCCAACATGTCAGGTCATGAAAGGTGCACTTGTGAGTTTAGCGGATCGACCCTTTCAGAGCCAAACGGGGCCCCGTTGGACGACGTTCACCTTCGACTCGAGGCTGCAAAGGGTCTTCGACTCGCGGCCATTGTGGTGTGCCCAGCCATCACCAAGTCGATCAAAAGTCAAGAACCATCTCCAAGAGCTTGGTCGACCTTTTTGGGGCCTCCTTTTCTGTTCATTTGGGTCGAGCAAGGTGTTCTTCTCGGTTTTGACCCATGGCCAGAACCCAGGATCCTTTTTCCATTGTCCTTTTTGTGCATTGCCGAAATACAAAAGCGTCCGACTCCCCTCCAAGAAGATATGGCGGGTTTCGCACTCAACTGTTGGGGCGTATTGATGGTACATATCACTTGGACACTCCTCGCAGTGACCTTACAAGCGCATATGCAAGAACTGCTACTTGTTCGCATTTGTCTCATTCCGGGATAAACGTAGCGGTGGTTGGCATATGTTGATGTGTGCAGTCCAATGCAACAAATTCAAAGCCAGATCTACCAGTAGTTCCTACCCAGGCCAAGGTTGCAAGTGATCACAAATGATTCCGCGGTACGAATAAAGGGAATCTTTGTGCACAAAAGGGTTGCTGTGACCGACGACCGTTGCTTTGCTGAGACCGGAAGATCGGCTAGTAGAAGGTCGCCCAGTCGTGTGGAGCTTAGTGCCAGAGGTGCGATGTGTTTCGCAGCAGCAGGCACGTTCTACAAATTGAACAGTTATTGTTTGTATCGGGAATGAAGTTCTTCTGGGTGTATGTTTGGAGACGATCGCTTCAATAAAGCGGACGGATTGAATTCCGGCGCCCATACTGTTCATGCATAGTTGGAGCTGGAGGATACATGAGGAGCATATACAGCTTTGAGAGTAGCTTTGAGATATTGGCTCCTGATCAAGGTCCCTTTGCGGTCTCAAACAGGCACAGCCGGGGTAGCCTTTTGAGTGAGTGGTGTATGTAGATCCCATACTAAGCTCCGGTTTCCATTGCAGCAATTCTAGCATTTCTGTCCCTTTTTGCACTTGGCACTTGCATCTTGTTGTCCCTATGGCACTGGCAGTGTTTGCAAAGCGTCACGTTTCGCCGTGGCGAGGAGGCTCATTGCCCCTGAGCGCGGCAACAATGCCCAGGCTGAATTTGCCCAACTCCGTGGCATGATGCTCCATGGCTTGTATTTTTTTTAAGCACGAGGCCCCGCCTCCCGACTTAATTAAGTAAAGGGAAAACGCTCCCAGCTACTTATATTTGTCCCAGAACCCTGCTACGGGAGGAATATGCAGCCTTCTATCTGAAAATATGTGTTTATATCTTCTATAATAGTTTCCCATACTATAAGCCACTATCTACTGGACGCAGGATAGCTCGCGCACTATTCGTTTGGTTCCTAGAATTTGTTGGGAAAACTAACAAGCCCTACTTTTCCAAGGGCCTACCTGTGCAGTATGAACCCTTGAAGGCTATTTTTCGTAGGTTTGGTTAGGCCTTGGGTTCAAAAAAGCCAGATAGGACATGATAGGATGCTTGAGACGATCTACTTCAGCTTGTTTGCTTGGAAGGGTTTGTTTGTCCAGGTTTTGGGGATTGCTTAGGAAAAAGCATCACCTTCGCGCTTGCATGCTGCGAGTCAGTTTCGGCCATTTTTGGACACCGCAGTCATTTGGCTTGGGCTGTAGAACCACGCTTCCAGCACATTCTCCAACACCTTCCCGTAGCAAAATCATGCTCCGTCACTTATTTGATTCTTTTATATGCACAATCTAGAGAACAAAAGTGAGGTTTGGTCAGTATAGTAGAATGCAAACATGAACCAACCTCCTCAAAAAAGAAAGAACGACACGAAGCTACGTTCCCTCGACATCAAAGGTTGCTTTCGACTAAAGGCAAGATGCCGAAGAATCTGTAAGCCTTACATGCCAATCCACTCCACCCCACATTCACTTCGGCAAAGCACTTTTGGATGCTTTTGCTGCCATGGAGCTGTTGACAGTAGACACCGTTTGTGACTATGTGACCCGGCAGTCTATGGCTGTGGCTGTGGCACGAGTCCAAATGTTTGATCACCAAGATTGGCAATCTGTGGACCAGAAGGATTTGAGATCAAGCTCCTTAAGACCGCAATTGATTACGCTGCCAGATGTCAGAGCCGCATTAGGAGAGCCAAAGATCTGGTTCTCAGAAGATTCTTTTGGGACGAATGGGCGCCACATCCTGTGACATTCATTAGGAACTAAACATCCTGCATACGAGAACCGCCTGTGCCATACCTGGCAAGGTGGCCTCGCAACTGGGAAGTCATCCTGAGGCGATGATGGTCATGTGGACTTCATGTGGTGATTGAATATAGACTTGGGCGATGAATGTGTGTTTGTTAGGCGCCATTGGACTGCAGCAGGGTGCCCAGAGATGCTCAGATTCTCAGTGATTCTCCAAGGTATGCTTTGAGTTTTAGTCACGGCATCACTCTTCTTTTTAAATACGTTTCCTTGTGTTCGCAGCTTTGTTTGTTTCCAGACCTTCCATGACAAGGCAAGTTACAAGCGCAAGAGGTCACAGGCGGGGAACAGCCCCTTTAATGTTCGGCCACTCGCGTTTTCACTCTTGGCTTCCCGGGAAACGAAGGTGGCAACCTCAACTACGCCTTTGCCGTGCGTGACGCCAAGGGCCATGCGGTCTTTGTGAAGCAAGCCCCTGACTTCATCAAGGCGATCTCATGCACTCTTCATTGAAATAGACAGAAGCGGATGCATATCAAAACCACCATAAACCGGAAGAGGCATTTACTTTGAACCACCTACATTGCCATGAGCCCACATGAGCCCCATGAGCCTCGAGGTCATTGGGCCTGCAGCACAGCTGACGCGTGAGCGGATGCGCTTAGAGGTGCAGGTCTACCAGGAGTGGGTCGACAAAGGCGAGAAAGCGGCTAAAGCGTGAGTCGAGTGGGGTAGAGATGGGTCGATTGGTCTTTTTCTTTTGTCCATGGGTTTGCTTCAGCATTTTTCTGCAAAGCTGCTCCCCCAGTCCCGAACATAGCTGGCATAGCAGTTACAAGATCCTAAACATAACTTCGCCGTCATTGCAGGATGTGGGAGATGTGTGTGTGTGTGTGACAGGGTGAGGCGGCACAGGACAAGGAGCATGAGACAGGCCGAAGTGGCAAAAGCGCAACAAAAGCCATGTGCTGGACCCATTTTGCTGTTCGGGTTGTACTGTTCTACTCAAACTGAACTGACATGACATTCACAACTTATTACATTTGGTCCGGTCGATCAGGTGCTGAAATGTCAAGATACATTCCGAGAATTTGGAAGCGTTTGCCTCAGTTCAGAGTCGCATGGGCAACCCAGCTCCGCATGTCAGGTCCAGAGTCTAGAGTCTACAGAAAGGTGCGTGCCAAAGGCACCAAAATTTCTGCCGGTCCTGCTCTCAAGCTTTCGGACAGGAAAACAATGTTGGTTTCCACGTGAGGTTTGATGAGGAAGCCATGGCATTCATTATGGAGTTCCTTGGCTCCTCTCAGCTTCTACAACAGAGCCTTTTCCAGGCATGGCCGAGGTCAGACTGCACCACCATGGTTCTGGTTTGGAAACTGCTCGGCTGGAGCCACATTTGTGTGCTATAGATTGTTATAGTCTATAGGTAGTCCATAGGTAGTTGGTGAACACCGACAACTGAACATTGACCCCACCCCCACCCAGCGCCCCATTTAAGCTTGCAGCCGCTGCTCGCAGTGACATCCCACTGTCCAGGGTGAGGCACAGGAGACGCTGGCCAAGAGCCTTGGAGAATGCATGGCGATAATGCACTCGAGGACAGGGTGGCCAGCCGCTTGTGCCCCTTTTTGATTCCAGCGTTGCACATAGGGGGTTTTGCAGACTTTGCACAGATCATCATCCCCAGTACCTCAGAGAGATCTAGGAATCCGGGTGCCTAGAAAGCTTCCAAATGCTTAACCAACGGACCATCAGCGCCGGGCGCCGGTGCTACTGTTGTTGCGAGCGCATGCAAGCGCCGTCATTGTAGCGCTTTCATCGCCTGGACGCACCCGCCGGCGAACATCTCAATGGTGAGATGTTGCTTGTGTCATGAACGCAATGCCATACAATGCCTGCCGCTTGCACCTGTGGCATGCTTCTGGGCACCATGAAGACAGGATGTGGTGAAAACATGTGAAAACCACGAAGGATCAAGACCTCCAAAGATCGTGCTTCTGGTGCTTCTTCCGAGTTTGTGGCCAGTTTCAATCCTGATGGCTCACCCCTCCGACCTAGCTGCAAGATCACCGCCAACGCCGCCAACGTCATCAACCGCAGCTGCAACGGGGGGGCAGTGGGTGCCAAAAAAAATCCAACACTATGGCAAATCCCAGACCCCAAAGATCAAACCCCGTAGATCACCTTATTCCGCCAGGACGCATTGCAGCAAGCTGGATGCCGGCGGGCGTGCTCGTTTGGCTGCGAGCTATGAGAACCGCCACTAGGACACGAATGCTACGCCGCAGAAGACGTTATATTTTTAGGCCGCTAGCGCCGCTAGAGGTGGTAGCTAGTAGTAGCTAGGTAGCTAGTAGCTTAAGTAGCTACTACCTACGACGCAGGATAGCTCACGCTTCATCAAGGAAGCTGCCCCGCCGCCCTAAAGAGCTTGGTTGAAGAAGCGCTCGCACTATTCATGGGAAACTTAACTTGGTATTTGGCAGAAAGGGCAGAGACCAAAGTGTCCAATGGCGGCATTTCCCACAGCCCAAGCAGCGAAGTGTGGGCAGTCCAAGGCCTTCTTCGAGACATCCAATTGGAGCGCTTTGGCCTTTCAGAGTGGGCCCTGGACGCAGGTGGGTGTGTGACACCATATGATACGGTAAAACCAAACGGAAGTCGACGTTAGTCATCCCCTTTTTTGTTGCATGTTGTTTGGAAGCTGTTTTTTGTTGGCATGTCTTGCTTGTTTTGTCATCCTGCATTTAGCCCGTGTAGAGGGCGGAATAGAGGTGAAAGACGGTTTCATGCGAGGTGACACACTTCAATGGTGCACTTTGGTGGTTGAACACAGAAATGAAGTCCCCTGAAGCATCCCAACCGGTCCCAATTCTGCCGCAGCTCGTTGGTCAGATCTCCTTGAGCGGATGTTGAAAGAACCACCGCCTCCAAGGTATGTTTTTTCCAAGTGCTACAGAGAAGATCCCCGCGCGGCTATGCTACGGGAGGATTCTGGCTTCATGACAGAGGTGGAGAATCTGAAGGCGATGAAAGTCAAAAAGAACAGGGGGTCGTAAATAGCAAATGCTATCAACGAATACTTGCTCTATGATTGAATTCATATGAATATTCAATGTGTTTTTCATATCAGCTAGTAGGCCAGTGGCTAGTGTCGCATGATCAATCGCAGCAACAACAACACCAGTTCTGAGTCAGCGTCAGGCCATCTACAACGGCCAAAACCAAGAGAACCTGTCCCTTTGCCACGGCGATTTGCACGCAGGCAGCGTCATGGCCACTCGTAGCTAATGGTGAGTGATTGTGAACCGTTCATTCGGCGATGGTAGCACTTCAAGCAGCACCTGTAGCAGTGTGCTTTGCCATTGTGCTTTGCAAGTGGGCAGCTCCTCGAGCCTGTAGAAGCTGTTGCATGTGAGGCATCGAATATGTCATGAGTCATAGATGTCATATATCAGAGCTAATCAAGTCTCTATGAGATGATTCCACCTGAGACCAATGTATCCTCGAGGTTGATGGTGCCGCCTCAAGTGACTCATGGCAGCATAGGAGCCCGGCCTTCGGCCTTGATGGCCTTGGCTCATGGTTGATCTCACCTGAGGACCTCTTTTCTCGCGAGCTAGAGGAGCCGCCAACCGTTTCCGGCCAACCGTTTTCCGAAACCATCGACCGAGGTAAAGATCATCGACCCAGAATTTGCGGTTTTTGGGCCTCCCGGATTGGATGTGGGATCGCTCCTGTCCACCTACGTTTTGGCATATTGCCACTGAGCGGTAACCAGGGGTCTGAAGGATTCAGCTCGGCTCTTTGATGAGGCAACAGGCGTCTTGGGAGGCTTTGCTGCGGGATTGAAAGTGTTGGTGCTTTCTTTATAGAAGACTGTACACTGCTGTAAATTGATGAAAATGCATCATGTTTGTGCTTGCTGGTGTTGGGGTATGTGCCATGGCTGAGCTGTGCGAAGGCTTTCACAGTGCCCAAAAGCACAGCTGCTGCAGTCAGATTTTGTTTGCGGCGCAACAGATCTGGGAAGCATATGTGGAGGCCATGAAGGCCGGCTTTGAAGGTGCAATCACAGTCAAGTGAGGTGGAAGGTAGAGACGCGATTCATGTTCTCCTGGAACACCTCGTTTTTGCAGAAAAAGGAACACATTGAAAGCAATTGAAAGCGCTTTTTGGGCCTAGGTGTAATCTTGGTGCACTGGTTGTTGGGCGAAGGATTAGATTTCAGGCCCATGCCTCTCGAAGCCCCTGTCAGGGAATTGCAGACCTTGATCAGAGTTAGGTCGTGGACTCCCCTGCCAGCTCAGACATCAGCAGACCAAGTAGCTGTTTACCCACTACCTGAAAATTAAGAAGCTGATCAGTGCCAAATTAGCTGTGCAAAACAACAATACGCCTTAATTCTACTGTATATTGTTCTGCCACTTTGGCCGATGTTGCTGCTAGCGGAGCTGACTCAGCTCGATTCAGGCTGCTGGTATTTCCTCAGATTTGCTGGGGCCGCTTGGTTTGCCAGAGCCATGAGATTCTGAATGAACAATGGGGGACAAGCGCGCTCATAAGATGCAATAAGATGCAACAAGCACAAATATATACAAATATATATATATAGCCTTATAGAGTCAAAAATAGGCTGACCCCCATGCTACAAATGCAGATAATGCACCAGGGCGTCCCACCTTCAGCCTGGTGTTTTGCCTCTCAGACTTCAGCTGTTGCGTGTCCAGAGCAGCAGCTGAAGCCTAGGACCATCGAAGTGGAGACCTTGGGATTTATCGGCTGCCACTCGGCATGGACGCACAGCACTTGTTTCATTTGTTTTCTTCCAAGATGACATGCAGTCACGCTCACGAAAGAAACAATAGGCTATTCATGAGCTGCAAATGAGTGGGGAATGTGCTGTTCGAACTCCAAAGTTCCGTCCGTCACTCGAGTCAGACAGCCGGACTCAGCCGGACCCAGGTGAAGTTGCACGGACCGCCTTGGGCTTGGCCTTTGCGCGATCCTTACGGATTGAGGACTGCGATCCTTACGGGGACAGATTTGATTGCTGCTGCTTTGGTGCCAGATCAGGCAAGCCATCCATTTTTCAAGTAGTGCTGCAAGCAGTGTACCGCACATAGGGTTGCACAGAAACTGCGGAACGGCGGTATGCCCGAGCCGTTGGATTTGCAGAATTTGCGTGAGAGTCTTGATTAACTGCCATGCAATCAGAGTTGAATCGGCGTGTTCGGTAGTTTCCTTGTTTCGACTGCTGTAGGACACCGAGCTCAAGGCTCGCACGCTTCTTTTGAGCCTTTGTTTGGTGCGTGGGGTATGGTGACTTATGGTGACTTTCATCGCTCCAGCATTTACAACTTTCAATACTTTGCAATATTGTGGAAACTTGATGGAGGGTTTTGGGGGTGCATTCTTCAATACATCGTGCAACAGCTGCACCTTCCTCCTTCTCCCCGGTTGAGGCCCGGGCGGAGGCGCGCGCCCTAGAACTGGGCGCCACTTGCATCCGTCGGCGATCTGAAGGGATGGCAGCCTTGAGACTTGGTAAAGGATGTAAAGGAAGAGAACAAAGCATGGGGAGAAACATCAGCAAAAAGGAAGACAAATATGAATTGTCCAGGTTGTGATATACCATGATATATATACCTTTAAGACGCGAGAGAGAGAGAGAGAGTGTGTGTGTGTGTGTGTTTGCGTGTGTGTGTGTGTGTGGTAGCCTAGTTTACCTAGTTGGTATGGTGTTGACGCACTCCGCTGATAGACGCGAACCCAGAAGGCTTCGGATCCCACAACGGATAACCCTGAGTTAAAATGTGCATACTGCGACGGCAAACGACTTCTCAGGTTGCTTTTCAATGGATGGTTTGGGCCCGTGTTGCTGACAAGAATATAAATGGCCAGCCCGCCTGGCACCACCATCTCCTGGGTGACAAAAAAAACAAAAGACTGGCTCCTGTCCTCTTTCAGAATCCTGCCACATGTGCATTGTTAAAAGATGTTTAAAGTTTCGCCAGCAGAGCCTGCCATTGCCAAGGAGAGCAGCGATCCTTGAGTTTGATGCGAAAGAGTAAGCGGAGTTTGAGCAGAAAAGCTGCAGTTTGTTTGACGTGTGTTTTTGTACCCTTGGTCGGTTGAGCTAGTCTACATTGCCATGATTCCAAAACTCTTTGTGACAATATGGAGAAATATAGAAATAGGGAGAGGCAGGCCGGCAGGTAGAATTGAACGCGTAGGTGTTATCCTGAGATAAAACTAGACACCTGCTGTGACATTCCAGTGGCCTTGATCCCGGAAGGTCCAGAAGAGAGAGCGACCCGGACATCTCAAAGCTTTCATTCGAGAGGTGGATGTCCATCCCGAACAAATATGATGGCTTTGCAGGGGTGTTTTTCTTTTAATTAAGACTTTTCTGGATTCTAGAAGCCTAGGAAGGACTTCGTATGGACTCGATAATTCCTACTGGCTATATCTGATGATGCTGTTGAATGTTGATGTGGAACAGGATTTTCCTTCGTCCTTTATCACATTTTATCATTGAAACTTCCGATCACAGTTGAATAGTCGCTTCGTTGCAACAGACGCGTACAGTGCTTTGCAGCAGCGTTGCTGCTGACCCGACAGCAGGCTTCGTACTGGCTCTGGCTCCACCAGCTTTACACAGGCGTTGCTGCGGTTGTGCGGATTTCGGTTGCTTTGATTTGGTTGTTTACGTGGGCCTTCTGAAAAGGAAGGGGGACATTTCGATCGAGTGGATTGTTGGACGTTACCCTTGGTATCTTTTGTTCAGAGATTTGTTGACAAGCAGTTTTCCTTGGCTCGCACTATGTATATATATATATATCAGTATCTCCTTTGTATCCGTTTCAGGCTAGTCCACCTGCATCGCTGCCAGTGTGAAGCTTAAGCCAAGAATGTCCAACAGGAATTTATTTTTCTGTTCCAACACCTCGCCAGGTACAAAGCGACAGCGCAGCTTCATTGCAAGAAAAACATTTGAAAACATGTGATAAATGACTGATTTGGCACACACACTTCGACAATTGTATTCAGTTATCTCGATTCCCACGTTGAGAAGGAAGGTGATGGAACGGCAGGGCGAAAAGTCAGAGAAAATTGTAGGTGTTTTAACAATGGTTGTTTCCCTTGACTGCGGTGACGAAGCGGCTCAAGCTGCATCGCTGCTGGGGAGGAAAAGGTTTGGGGGAAGGAAACGTGAAGAACCATGAAACAAACCGTGGAAAAGTAGTGTAACAGCTTGTAGAAAACTCGGCAGGTACGTTCAGAGAGCGTCCTCTCCGAATATCACATCCGATCAGCAGTGTCTTTGTTAGGCAGTGACTGCTGAAGGGGTCACTGCCCCCCTGCCTGAGAAACTGTGGTTGGAAAGTGGTTATTGGAGTGGCTGGTAGAAACCCTTTGCCCAGGGGTGGACACACACAAATCGCCGGCTTCGGCGCTTTTTCAAAAAACGTTGAAAGTGGAACTTTGTACAGAAAGCGCCAATATTGGCGCTGCGAAAAACTAATAGCCACCTAAAAAGCCTTAGAAAGACAGACAAAGCAAACAAAACAAAAGCAGACTAAGAGGGCAAGAAAGAAAGAAAGGGGTAGTTACGAGGCCCACTTAGTTAAATGAAAGTAGAGCGCGAGCGGGACCTTTGTCTTAAACCGCCCGGGTAGCTAGCAATAGGCTAGGAGAAACAGAAGGAAAGGCACCAACACACAAGTGTGTTGAGTGCGATTTCCTTTTGTTTCCCGAGTAGCGGGTGGGGTAGCAACGGAGGCCCAGGGGTAGGGAGGGGAAACATGCACGATTAATTCATCCGGCCTGTGAATACTTAGCAGCACATGCACATGTGAATACTTAGCCGTCAAACATCTCAAAAAAGCAAGTGTTGCAAAACTGTCAGTTCCCGTGGTGAGGCCCGGCGGCCGTTGTGGCAGTTAATTCTGTGGTTGTGTAGTCAGTGACTTCCAGTGGAATTCCTGTGAAAAGTGGTGAGGTCAGTTAATGCTTGCACGATGAGACAGCGCCCCAATGACGGGGATCACACTCAGCACCCGAGTGGGACGGCTGAGCGAAACACACTTCGACAATTGTATTCAGTTATCTCGATTCCCACGTTGAGAAGGAAGGTGATGGAACGGCAGGGCGAAAAGTCAGAGAAAATTGTAGGTGTTTTAACAATGGTTGTTTCCCTTGACTGCGGTGACGAAGCGGCTCAAGCTGCATCGCTGCTGGGGAGGAAAAGGTTTGGGGGAAGGAAGCGTGAAGAACCATGAAACAAA